AATTGAATGGGGCCAGCCGGGGGGCAGAGCGACCGAAATGCGGCGGGCGAGCCTGGGGCCGCCAATGCAACCGACGGACAAACGAAAACAAACCAAAGCAAACAACACCACTACTAAATGAGCCAGCCGAGGGGCCGAACGACCGAAAAGCCGCGGGCGAGCCTGGAGCGACCAGTGCAGCCGACGGACAAGCGAAAACAAACAAAAACAAACAAAACCAAGCATTTGGCCAGCCGAGGGGCACGGCAGAGCGACCGAAAGGCGGCGGGCGAGCCTGAGGCGACCAGTGCAACCGACGGACAAGCGAAAACAAACAAAAAACCAACGAAACCAAGGAATGGGGCCAGCCGAGGTGCCGAGCGACCGAAAGGCGGCGGGCGTGCGCAGGGCGACCAGTGCAGCCGACTGACAAGCGAAAACGAACAAAAACACAGAAAACCAGCGAATCTGGCCAGCCGAGGGGCCGAGCGACCGCGGGGCGGCGGGCGAGCCCGGGGCGACCAGTGCAGCCGACGGACAAACCAAACCAAACAAAAACAAACAAAACCAAATAATGGGGCCAGCCGAGAGGCCGAGCGACCGCGGGGCGGCGGGCGAGCCTGGAGCGACCAGTGCAGCCGACGGACAAGCGAAAACAAACAACAACAAACAAAACCATGGATGGGGCCCGCCGAAGGGCCGAGCTGCCGCGGGGCGGCGGGCGAGCCCGGGGCGACCAGTGCAGCCGACGGACAAGCGAAAACAAACAAAAACAAACAAAACCCAACAATTTGGCAAACCGAGGGGCCGAGCGACCGCGGAGCGGCGGGCGGGCCTGGGGCGACCTGTGCAGCCGACGGACAAGCGAAAACAAACGAAAACAAAGAAAACCACACAATTGGGCCAGCCGAGAGGCCGAGCGACCGCGGGGCGGCGGGCGAGCCTGAGGCGACCAGTGCAGCCGACGGACAAACCAAAACAAACAAAAACAAACAAACCAAATAATTTGGCCAGCGGCGGGGCCGAGCAACCGAAAGGCGGCGGGCGAGCCTGCGGCGACTAGTGCAGCCGACGGACAAGCGAAAACACTCAAACACAAACAAAACAAAGGAATGGGGCCAGCCGAAAGGCAGAGCGACCGCTGGGCGGCGGGCGAGCCCGGGGCGACCATTGCAGCCGACGGGCAAGCGACAACAAAACCAAGGAATGGGGCCAGCCGAGGGGCCGCGCGACCGAAAGGCGGCGGGCGAGCCTGGGGCGACCAGTGCAGCCGACGGACAAGCGAAAACAAACAAAAACAAACAAAACCAATGCATTTGGCGAGCCGAGGGGCCGAGCGACCGCGGGGCGGCGGGCGAGCCTGGGGCGAGCAGTGCAGCCGACGGACAAACCAAACCAAACAAAAACAAACAAAACCAAATAATGGGGCCAGCCGAGCGACCGCGGGGCGGCGGGCGAGCCTGGAGCGACCAGTGCAGCCGACGGACAAGCGAAAACAAACAACAACAAACAAAACCATGGATGGGGCCCGCCGAAGGGCCGAGCTGCCGCGGGGCGGCGGGCGAGCCCGGGGCGACCAGTGCAGCCGACGGACAAGCGAAAACAAGCAAAAGCAAACAACACAAAAAATGAGCCAACCGAGGGGCCGAGCGACCGCGGGGCGGCGGGCGAACCTTTGGCAACCAGTGCAGCCGACGGGCAAGCGAAAACGAACAAAAACAAACAAAACCAAGGAATGGGGCCAGCCGAGGGGCCGAGTGACCGCGGGGCGGCGGGCGAGCCTGAGGTGGCCAATGCAGCCGACGGACAAACGAAAACAAACAAAAACAAACAAAACCAACGAATGGGGCAAGCCGAGGGGGCGAGCGACCGCGGGGAGGTGGGCGAGCCTGGGGCGACCAGTGCAGCCGACGGACAAGCGAAAAAATAACAAAAACAAGCAAAACCAATGCGTTTGGCCAGCCGAGGGGCCGAGCGACCGCGGGGCGGCGGGCGAGCCTGAGGCGACCAGTGCAGCCGACGGACAAACCAGACCAAACAAAAACAAACAAACCAAATAATTGGGCCAGCGGCGGGGCCGAGAAACCGAAAGGCGGCGGGCGAGCCTGCGGCGACTAGTGCAGCCGACGGACAAGCGAAAATAATCAAACAACAAACGAAACCAAGGACTGGGTCCAGCCGAAAGGCAGAGCGACCGCTGGGCGGCGGGCGAGCCCGGGGCGACCAGTGCAGCCGACGGGCAAGCGAAAACAAACAAAAAACCAAAAAAAAAAAAAAAAAAAAAAAAGGGGCCAGCCGAGGGGCCGAGCGACCGAAAGGCGGCGGGCGAGCCTGGGGCGACCAGTGCAGCCGACGGACGAGCGAAACCACACAAAAACAAACAAAACCAATGCGTTTGGCCAGCCGAGGGGCCGAGCGACCGCGGGGCGGCGGGCGAGCCTGAGGCGAGCAGCGCAGCCGACGGGCAAGCGAGAACAAGCAAAAGCAAACAAAGCAAAAAAATGAGCCAGCCGAGAGGCCGAGCGACCGAGACGCGGCGGGCGAACCTTTGGCAACCAGTGCAGCCGACGGACAAGCGGAAAAAAACAAAAAACAAGCAGAACCATTGCATGGGGCCAGCCGAGGGGCCGAGCGACCGCGGGGCGGCGGGCGCGCCTGGGGCGACCAGTGCAGCCGACGGTCAAGCGAAAACAAACAGAAACAAACAAAACCAAGGAATTTGGCCAGGCCGAGCGACCGCGGGGGGGCGGGCGACACTGGGGCGACCAGCGCAGCCGACGGACGAGCGAAAACAAACAAAACAATCAAAACCAAGGAATGGGGCCAGCCGAGGGGCCGACCGACCAGCGTCGCGCAGGGAAGTGAGAACCAAACCCGAGAAGTAGATTAGGTTTGCGCCCGCCCCCCATAAAAAAAACAAAACATATAGATTTTTGAAATAGGAAGGCGCTTAAAGTAGATTGGGATCTGGGAATCCAAAAATACCTACTTTCAACGACCGGTGGGTAGCGATCTCACACTCGATCTCAGTATCGATTTGACAATCGAATTCACGACCGATCTCACACACGATTTCACGATCGATCTCGCAACTGATTTCGTTATCGGCGTCAGTACCGAACTCACCACCGATCTGACAATCAAATTCACGATCGATCTCGCATTCGGACTCACGATCGCTCTCACAATTGTTCTTAGTAGCGGTCCCACTATCGTTCGCGCAGTTGGTCTCACCATCGAGTTTACTATCGGTCCCACGATCGGTCTCACAATCGATCTCACAATCGGTATCACAATCGATCTCAGTATCGATATCCGTCTAGGTCTCACGCGCTGTCTCACAGTCGATTTCACAACAGATCTCATTATACATTGCACATCAGAACTCACGATTTACCTCACAACAGATTCCACTATCGATCTCACAATCGATCTAGCTATCGGTTTCACTATCGACTTCACATAAGATCGCACGATCGATGTCGCAAGCGGTCTCACTATTGATTTGACAATATAATTTACGATTGCTCTCACATTCGGGCTTACTATCGACTCCACAAGGGATCTCAGTATCGTTGTCCCGATCGATCTCACCATTCATTTGACAATCGAAATCATTACCGATCTCACATTCAGATCCACTACCGATCTCACAACAGTTCTCACTACCCTTTTCACTATCGATCCCACAAACGACCTCACATTTGATCTCACAATCGATCTCGCAATGGATTTCGGACTCGATCCCACGATCGATCCTTTTATCGATCCTTTTGCCGATCACACTATAGATCTCTCGAGCGATCACACCCTCGATCTCACAACAAATCTCACGATCGATCTCACTGTCGATCTCACTATCGATCTCACCTCCGCGGCACCGACGGAACACCCCGTGCCACCGACGGGACACCCCGCGCCACCGACGGGACACCGCCGCGCCACCAGCGGGACACCGACGGGACGCCGCCGCGCCACCGACGGAACACCTCCGGCCTCTGCGCGCAGACATGGGGTCGGGCAATGGGCAACACATCCCCTAGCCTTGTGGAGGACGATCAATGGAGAGGAAGCATGTTGCCAAATAATTTCCAGATGTCTAAAACATATGTTAAACATGTTTTAAACATGTAAAAATCATGGTTGAAACATGTTTGGATAATTGTTCCGGCATTTTAAACACATTTAAATTTCAATGATCGGATTGTTAGGGCGTCCATTGTCGTGGCATCCACAACCTTAGCCACGGCAGCATCATTCCTCTCGCGCGCCCATGCAGCTTCGCCTCGCCCGCACGACACGAGCACGAAACCGAAACCGATTTCCTGGGGAAGGGCTCTCCGTTCCACTGCCATCTCACCCCGTCGCCTCCGATCAAGAGCCCGAGGTATGAAATCGTCAGGGGCCCTCTTGAGGTCCCTCTTGGGCCCTATTGGAGCCTCTTGGGGCTTTCCCCTGGCTCCGAAGACGACCCAGGAGGGCCTCAGGCAGCCCCGATCGAGCTACAAGAGGGCGTAAAGTTCCTTTGGCGCTGGAGGTAGGTAGCATCCACCGCATCGTTTGTGCCACACAGGTTGCACATACATCATGCGAGAAATCCGCGTTGAGGACAAGGGGAGCAGAAAAGGCCCGAGAGGACCCCTGCATGACTTCAATCTTGCCCACACTAAGCTTGTTTGTGGCTCACAGGGAAGAGCGGAGATGGCAGGAGGGGGGAGAAAATGGAGAAGGATAGCTCGAGTAGGAGGTTTGGTGGGGGGTGGCAGTCACGACAACGCACTGAAAACTTATCCGACAATCGTCCCCTGGCATTGCATGGCCCGCTCGCGGGGTACTTATTCACGTACGTAATTCGGCGCGTACGTTATTTTGCGGCTCCCCATGTTTTCAGGCTTCCCCCTTATTCACCCTCTCGTCTTCCTCTTCCCCCCTCACCCTCCCTCGTCATCCTTCTCCTCTTTTCGTCCTCGTGTGAGGGATGATCTCCTGCGGTGCACCCCGTTGGGAAACCGCCGCTCCAGGTGACTGGCATGGGCTTCGACGAGCCAAGCGCGAAGCGGGCCTTGTCCACCACTGGGCGGCCACCTGATCCCGGGGGGCATGCTTGACGATGAGAGGAGAATCGGGGGTCCCCAAAAAGGGTGGTGACCACACCGTGCGGTGAGTCGGTGGGGATTCGGGGTCACCGCACGGTTGTGGGACTCGAGTCCCTCTCGGAGGACGTCTCGGGCGACAGGGGCCTCCGGGGTCCCAAGACCGTGCGGTGACGGACCGTGCGGTGAGGTCTTGGGGGGGATTTCGGTCACCGCACGGTCCGTCACCGCACCGTTTCGGGACTCCCAAGAGACAGGACGAAGCTGAACAGAAGGAGGAAAAGGATGAGGAGGAGGAGGAGGTGGAGGAGCAAGAAAGCTTCTCCTCGTCCTCCTTCTCCTCCTCGTTCTCCTTCCGTTTCCTCGTTCTCCCGCTTCCTCCTCCTCCTCCTCCTTCTCCTCCTCCTCCTCCTCCACCCCTCCTCTCGTATTTCCTGTTGCTCTCTGCTTATCCGTCTCCTCCCCCTCCTACCGCTCTTCCGTTTCGTTCTTCGCCATCCCTCCTCCTGCTCATGCAGCAGTGCTAGTCAGGAAGGTGTGCATGAGCAGGAGGAGGAGAAGAAGGAGGAGGAGGAGGAGGAGAAGGAGGAGGAGGAGGAGCAGCAGCAGGAACGCAGCTCATTCTCCTCCTACTCATTCTCCTCCTCGTCCTCCCTCCGTTTCCTTATTTCCCCCGTCTCCTCCTTCTCATCCTCCTCCCTATCACCTCTCCCAGTCCCCCGTGCGCCCTCCTTATCCGTCTCCTCCGTGCCCCTCCTTCCGCTGCTCATTCTCATACTGCGCCCTCTTTCCTGCTTCTCACGCAGCTGTGCTAGCCAGGAAATTGCGCGAGTCGTCTGACATCCAGACAAGATGACAGGGAAGGAGAGACAGGAGGTGATTGGTGGAAGACCAGTGGCCGAGGATGAGGATGATTTACGAGAAACATGAGACATGGGACGAGGAGTGAAAACAAGGAAGAGGGTTAGGAAGATGATGAGGACGTTGGAGGAGGTACAGGAGGAGGAGGGAGACGATGAGCAGGATAGGTAGCTGGTCAGGATCGGAGGGATGTGATCATGCCCAAGCAGGCGATGACCAGGCTGGACATATCTTGATTCGCCGAAAGCCGGGATTGTCACTCGAATCATCGTCACAGCTGTGGAACTGGAAGCGTGTATCCGTGGAACGCGGCTCAACTGCGACTGTGCTCGACGGTCTTGGACTTGCCGCAGAGTGCTCCCAGAGGTGGTTGCCTTTAAACGCCATCAGCAACGATGTGTTATGCCAGACCACCGGGTTGATGTCGAAGGCAGTCGCGACTAGTGATAGCAACCCATGACTGCCTGAAAGCCGGGCCCGCCAATCTGACCCCTGATCGCCCATCCGGTCGAAGGAGAAACCAAATAACGGACAAGGAGGACGAGGTGGATGAGGAGGAGGGGGATGGCGAGGCAGAGGCAGGGGCGTACTAAGGTGCAGAGGAGCATCATGCATATCAAGAAAATGCACGCTAAGAAAATGAACTTCACTCCAGGCGTTGTCTTAAACAGTAGTCTAGGTCCACGTAGACGGCAGTTCTACGGGACAACGAAGCCCGAGAAAGCGCCCGGGGTCCGGTGTCGCTTCTTGGTCTCCTTAGACGAAATCTGGAGTCCATGGGAGTTGCTGCTTTTTCCTAAGATATCTGATTGCTTTCGGTTCAGGAGTCGGTTGTATTAGACTGTCGGCGGGCTCAGTCGAGTCCGTGTCCACTGCAATCGGACGCTACAGATAGGCTTCCGTCGTCGGGTGGCGGCCCGCCATTCAGCGCCAGTTGGTCCTTGGCCGTCTTCGATGGGGCCTCTCTACAAAGCTGCTTATGCACATGCAGCCATCTCGACTGGCCGTACTCCAGGTCGGAAGGGGAGCCATCCTAAAAGACGGAAACACCTTGCACGCAAGAAACGCGCACTGCCCCAAGCATGGCAAAACCAGTGCGCGCAGTATGCGCAGAGGGGAAAAGCCTTTTAGAGCTATGCTTAAGTCGGGCCTGTCCCTCTACAGGGGGAAGATTAAAAAATAGTCCAACAATAGTACGGGGACTATGTTTAGCATGTTTTAACCATTTTTGAGTATTTTGATGAGTTGTTGTTCCTCCAAACCTCCCCTGTGGGGGAACAGACCCGACCTAAAGCTATGCGGAATTGAACACACAGACACACCAACACTTATAAGATCAAAGATGCTTACGGCGAGTCACCGCCGCCCCCTGCCTTTTCGAAACGCTCACGCGGCCAAACGCTGGGCCCAAGGCTAGCCAATATATTGGACTAGGTGTTCCCCCAGCCGTTGTGGGACCCCTTGAGTGAACACTTGGGAGAGGAGGAGGCGGATGAGGAGAGGTAGGAGGAGGACGGGGGAGGAGGAGGAGAGGTAGGAGGAGGACAGGAGAGGAGGCGGGGGAGGAGAAGGAGGAGGAGGAGGAGAACGAAGAGGAGGCCTCTCGAGGCCCCCTTTGGGCCTCCTGGGGGCTTCCTGGGAGCCCCCGGGGGGGCCCTGAGGGGCCTCATGGGGGCTTCTTGCAGTCTCTTGGGGGCATCTTGTGGGCCTCTGGGGGCCTCTGCGGGCCGCTGGTCCTTGGGACCTCTTGCCCTTCGGAGGCTGCCTTGGAGCCCCCTCTGGGCAGTCGTGGCAACTCTGTGGGGCCACCTTGGGGCCGTATTCGGGGCCTCTGGGGCCGTCTTGTGGCCCTTGCGGGCTTCCTGGGGGCCTCGTGGGACGTCTTGGGGCGATCTTGGGCCTATGGGGCCGTCTTGGAGCGTTGTAAGCCCAAGCAGGCGAGAACGCTAACATAATTGAAACACGCATGAGAGGCCCCGTTGGCCGTGATGGCCCACCTTGAGGCGATCTTGGGCCGTCTGATCATTTTGGCCGTCTCGGAGGCGTCTTAGGGCCGTCTTGGAGGCCATATTAGGCCATCGAATCCGTCTTGGAGCAATTTGTTGTGGACGTTGTGGTCTTCATGTGCCTTTCCGTGAGGCCGCCGGGTTGGGCCGAGACTAAACAGAACCAACTCAATTTAAGATATGGCACGCCGTGCACCTTTCTGGTAAGCCACAGAGGGTGATGGATCCACTGGCCGTCGGCTCATCCCGCGGCCCATCCCGCCACCGCGCCTAGGTTATAGGTCAGAGGCCTCTTGGTTGCCTGGGGATTTATGGGAGGCTTCTGGGGGCCTCTTGGAGGCGGTTTTGGTAGACTCTTGGGGCCTCTTGGGGGCCTCCTGGTTGCTGATGTGGGCCCCCGGGTGACCCCGAGTGCCCCGCCTCGCGCCGACACATCATGGTTTGACAGAGCGGTATGTTAATACAGCAGAACATGGTGCAGCACAACAGCGTAAGCTATGCAATAATAGAGCATAACACCACACCACCCAACGTACCATATCCGATAATAACACGTCGTCTCATTACATAACGTATCGTAACATGACGCACCATGACAGAGCAGCACATACCATATCACTGTAGCACAGCATCACACCACATACAATTCTATATATCTATATATAGATAAATGTATCACGACAAAGGAAGCATACCACACGAACGCATCGCAGAACTCAACATGTCACTACTGATCATGGCACAGCCTCACATAGCATGACATAGCATATCATAGCACAAACAGTGTAACAATGCCTGACGTGACAGGCCGATGCACACGTAGCACAGCATAACATATCATATCAGAACATAGCATGGCAGAACATATCCTGGTATACCATACTATGACAAAACCCAACGCGCTATACCACACCATCGCAGCACATCTAGAATGATGATTCATATCGCAGAACAGATCACACAGCATAGCATGACAGAGCGCGGCATAATACGTTACGGTCGCAGAACATACCATTTTACAAAACCAGATATATTGTATCATACAGAACAGGGCATATCACCACACCTCATATCACATTACAATAAAGCATACCATGATATGCCATGTCCGAGCACATCATAACATTACATGACATGGCAGAACATATCAAAACGTGGCACAGCACCAATTCACATGATATTCTATAACATGACGCATCATGCGATGGCAGAGCGCAGCATAACACATGATAGCAGAGTGCACCAAACAAATGTCATCACACCATAACATGGCACTGCATATCATGTCATGGCATGTCAGACCTGGGCACAACAAGGACACATTCTACAACAACGCGTGCACTGCCATCCTGGAGCACACATGGCATTACATCACACCACACATCATGCGTAAGAGAACAGAGCATCATACTTCACGTAATACCACTACATGTCATAACATAACAAAGAACCGACGCAGGACATCATATAATATCAAATACAATGCCCTGACAAAACAGAGCATGACAGAACGCAGCACCAAGCATAACATAAAAGTCACATTTATTTTGCTTCGAGCGATCCCCTCCGAAACCTTCGGCGTTTGATCCCAGCGGTGGTCGCGCCCATTGGAACGATGTGCGCGTGGCCCGGTGGTGTCGGCCAGTGCGGCGGTCTGACCAGGTCGCAAGTTGCCCCTCTCTTGAAACCTAACGGGCATAGATTCCCTGATGAAAACAACGAAACAAGCCCTGAGCAGAACGCTCTGTGCGAGACTCCCAAAAATGCCCCGAAAGAATCAATTGGAGGAAGAGGTGCGGTAGCAGTAGTCGTAGTAGTAGTAGTAGTAGTAGTAGTAGTAGTAGTAGTACTACTAGTACTAGTACTAGTAGTACTAGTAGTAGTAGTAGTAGTAGTAGTAGTAGTAGTAGTAGTAGTAGTACTAGTAGTACTAGTAGTAGTAGTAGTAGTAGTAGTAGTAGTAGTAGTAGTAGTAGTAGTAGTAGTGGTAATAATAGTAGTAGTCGTAGTCGTAATGGTCGTAGTAGTAGTAGTAGTAGTAGTAGCAGCAGAAGCAGTAGTAGTAGTAGTAGTAGTAGTAGTACGTCGTAGTAGTAGTCGTAGTGGTGGTAGTAGTA